CATCACTGCTTTTATCATTTAATTGGTGAATTAAGTTGGAAAAAGTTTGAAAACCCTCTTGGATAGATTTGAGGGTTGAATTGTTATCGAAATTTAGTGGTTTTAGTATGGGTAGACTCGTGGTTGAGTGGGCGTTCATATTTCGTAACTTTCGCCGTATTCCGAGACGTGGGCCCCACGGACGATTTTTAAATCAATTTCGGATTTTTATTGAAAATTATAGTATTTTCTTATGAAATTGATTCCTATAATTTTTAGTGATTGTATCGAATTATTTTGGCTAGATTCGAGCCATACAGAGTTGGATAATCGAGGAAAAGACCTACCAGTGGATTAAATTGGAGCAAGTTGAGGTAAGTCTCTTGTCTAATCTTGTGAAGGAAAAATTATCCCATAGGGATTTAATTGAATAATTGTTGCTAATTGCGGGGGTTACGTACGCACGAGGTGACGAGAGTCCATGCGTAGCTACTATTAATACTAAAGTCCGGGTAGTTTAGGACTCAAAGCATGAATTATTTGTGTAAATTGTATTCTTTGTTTAATTAATATTATTTGGTATATATATATATATATTGTGAATTGTTAGATAAAGATATTCAAGGATGAAAATCTTATATGCTTGGTTTTATTTTTAAATTAACTAATTGCTAGGAGAAATTGTTCATCCTCCCGAATTTATCTTACAATAAATATTCTTATTCCGGAGGTACATAAGAAAATGTCCTCCTTTCTTGTGGATCGGGCCGAACGCCTCGGCAGAATAGATGCATCTATGGATCGTGTCGCTCGTCCCTCGGCAGTGTATACGAAACTCTAGATCGGGTCGTACGACCTCGGCAGAAATCGTGCTTAATAATAATAATAATTACACGACACTTGGACAGTTTATTGCAACTGGTAAAGCTATTTGATAAATTTGAAATTTTATTGAAGTTGAAGGATTTAATTAATAGATTGGAAATTATTTTATTTGAAAGAATTTAATTGATAAATTGAAAACTATTGAAAATTGAAAGAATTAATTATCTTTGCTTGTTAAGAAAATTATGGTTGTTCGTGTGAATGAGGCCAATTGATAAATTGAAAATTTATTGGAATTAAAGGAATTTAATTACTTCTACCAGTTCAATAAAATTATAGTTAACTCTGTGAATCGCGTTGATATAAATATTTATATTTTCATGATTATTTAATAGTATTGACCCATAGTGAGTGTCAAAGTCGGTCATCACGTCTCTACCTTTTCGAGATTAGGCTTGATACTTACTGGGTACACGTTGTTTTCATACTCATGTTACACTTGTTGCACATTTTATTATGCAAGTACATATATGTCTAGCGGCCTGATGGGCGCAAAGGTGTGGTTAATAATAGTGGGGACATAGGTGAACTGCATTCTGTATTACGATCCGCAGCCAACAGAGTCTCCTTCAGAGTTGTTATATTTTTCTGTCTAATTGGTATCCTGGACAGATGTTGTATTTTATTCTAAATTTCTTAGTAAAAGCTCATGCACTTGTGACATCGGGTTTTGGGAATGGTTGTGAACTGTTTAGAAATGTAATTGCTAAATTTTTTTATCATTTACTTTATGAGTTTTATCTTTATTATTTCATCGAAGAAGTTTTGATTTTCAAAAATACTAAAATAGGTAATTAAGCTAAGTATGTATTGTTGGCTTGCCTGATAGCGATGTTCGGCGCCATCACGATCTTAAAGGATTTTGGGTCGTGACAACTTCTATCAAAATTATTTTCTAGCAAATGAAAATCCAGCAATATATTCTTGTACTACGTTATGTCTACATTTTCAAGAGCTTTAATTTTGGACCATACCACCTATATATTATTATCATCTAAGTCACATCATTTCCCTTTTATCACTCCAAGTACTTGTTTTTGGCTGTTTCAATACATCTTATATTTAGTAGACCGAATTGTCACATATCTAGAATTCAAATTTCAAACTTGATTTGGTTTTGAACAAGTAAAGTTATTACTGTCAAACTTTTTTATAACAGTCTCGTTTGTTTCGAATTTTCTGAATACTATAGTGAAGTGCTGCTATAAATAACATAGTATGAAAATTGATTTCATAAGTACTTGGCTATAGTGAATGGTTATTATATAATGATATCGTTATAAAGAGATCTGACTGTATTCTTGTTCATTAATTTTTCTCGTAAATGAATTCTTATTTTGCTTTTTCCCGTTTGTGTTCATACTTTTCTAGGTTCTGATAAAATGAACTTTACCGAATACCTAACCCACAACAACATTAATACCTAACCCACAACAACATTGTCACCACTAGGGTAATTGATTGTATAGATCGTACTCATAAAAATTAAATTTTAAATCCGCCAAAAGGAAAAATTATAGATACAAGAAAGTTAAGGATGACAACAAAATAATAACTTCCATCCCTCAACTATAAGCCACACTTCCATCAGCTCAATTATCTACAGGGACACTCCATCTCTTTATTATAGATTTCATGACACGGCTTTAGTGATAAGTCAATTGAGCATCAAGGACCATATTCCAGCCATGATATTGGTCAGAGAAAGGCCTAATGTGCAACACGCCATGTCTAAGAATACAAAAAGTGGGTGGTCATGTACCAAAATAGAAAGATAAAGATAAGAAAGTAAGATAAAAAGATGCACTACTCATAAAAAATTTCTTGCATTCGGTGTTTACACCAAATTAATAATAACAACAACAACAACCCAGTATAATTTCAGTAGTAGGATCTGGAGAGGGTAATTTGTACGCAGACCTTACCTCTATCCTGGGGTAGAGAGGTTGTTTCCGATGGTCCCTCGGCTCCCTCCCTCCTAGAATTCCCCACCTTGCTCTTGGGGTGACTCGAACTCACAACTTCAACTCACTCTTGTCCTAATTTTTCTTTTATTGGCCCATCAGGCCTAAAGTCAGAAACTTACACAAATGTCTCAAATAAGTCTCAACTTACCAACTTCTAGCCATTAGTCATAGACTAACCAAAACTAGTCAAGTACATATAAAAATTGAAAAACCAAATAAATAAGGTTCTTTCTCTCAAAGAATCACATGCAAAGATCACCTTCCATATTTTTAAGCATGATTAGCAACATTAGATGCAAGACGGAAAGGAAATTTAATGGATGAGATAGCAAATAAGGTGATGAAATACAAAAAAACAAATATACAATATTCCAAAAATCTAAGAAAAAAGGAAACTTTTTCAATGGGTATAGTTGAAATTTATTGAAAACATATAGATAAGTCAATATACAAAATTTGAGGAAGATTCGAGGTGATTTGGACTGATTTTGTATCAAAATTCGTAATTAAATCGAGTTAGAAAGAAAGTTTTCTGCGACACATGTATCAAACATGTATCACGCATGTATCTCACATACACGTATACATGGATATACATGTGATACACAATTGATACAAATATGATACACAGTGTGATACACATATTTTTTTCACGTTCAGTTGAATTCACCAAATCATTCTAATGCACAGTGTGATACACATATATTTTCAATTCAAACCACCTCAAAACTTCACCAAATCATCCCAAAACTGAGATTCAAGCTCCTTAAGACGTACCCAATCTATTCTAATAACACCCACTCAAAAGAAAGGAAAAATTTGACCATTTTTTGATACAGATAGCTAATTGGCTAATATTAATAATATAGTTGGCTAATATTAGTAATATTTTATGAATTGACCAATTTTTGTAATGAGCTACTTATAAATGGACATAGATGGTAGTTTTCAAATTATCCCTCATTAATTTAATTTTTTCTTTTCTTTTCCTTTTTCTTTTAATTTCTACTACACATTTCTTCGCTTTTTTTATTTTAATCATATTTTTATTCTCTTTTTCCTATTCCGAAGAGTAGATTTTAAATTATCATGTAAATAATAAGTAATACCAAACACTCAATGTTATTGCTTTGGAATAACTATATTTTATATTGATTGGACTTTTTATTTATATTTATATTTTACGTTTTATATTTTAATTGAATTCTTTTATAACAAATGTTTAAATTTATTTTTATTTTTCTAAATAATACTAATCGCAAATTGAACATTTACTGTCCTTTTTTGTAATTTGATACTTAAAAGTATTTTTTTTTTTAAATCGACCAAACATAATGTGCTTGCAAAAAGCACTACTCAAATGAATTGTCCAAACACAAACTGTTATTTAACAAAAGTAATTTTTCAAAAAGCACTTTTCAAAATAAGTAATTTTTGACAACTTGGCCGAATGGGGTCTAAGCTAAGGAACCATTATTTCATATTCTACATATGAAATAATGGTTTAACTTATATAAATAAAATAATATACTTTCTACCTAAGTAAACATAAAATATACTCAAAGAAATTGTATATTGTACATAGTATAAATATACAATATACTACATACTATATACCATATACTATAAATATACTATATATAATCCTCTTATATCCAATGTTCTTTATTTGTATATAGGTAATAAAGCATCTAAATATATTTTGTAAATACGTATATTAATGTATTTAAAAATATCTACATATATCATAAATAAATATTTTGGTAGCTTGCCTTAATCCATGATACTAAAATATTGAATCACAGCAATGTCTCAGAAAATAAATTTAAGAATATTAATTTCTATTGATTGAATTTAATACCGAACAAAAAACAAAAAAGAGGAAGAAAAGAATACCATTGGCGTGAACAACAAAATTCATTAGCGATATTGTTGTTCTTGGTGGATTTGTAACTCATTTCTGCTTCCATGGATAACACGACAAATATTTCCAAAAATAAGTGGTTTGGGTGACTCCTCTAAGTGCTCAAACGAGCAAATGAAATTGAAGTGCAAGGAGAAAATAATATTATTTCCATGGAATTGTGGAAGAGTATCTGTTCATTCTCAATATGGTATGGTGAGATAATTGAATATTAAAGAGAATAAGTGTGTTATGATTTCTGAAGATAACCAAACTTCTTTTGAAAAATAAAATTACACGAGCAAGAGCATAGCTAAAGAAAAGTCAATACCAGGAAAATTTAGGAGCACATAAAATGATAAAATAATCATACGGACAGAAAATATCCCCTGATTCTAACTGCACATCACTCAGCTGAAATTGCAGTCATCTATATCTTCCATAGTCAATGCAGTACTTATATTTTGAGCAATCATCATGTTTCAATCAACCTACTCTAAAGCATATCTGACAAGAGTAGTAAATGAGGTGGCAGACTTATCCCCAGTCAACAAAAGGGAGAGGTGGATAACCACCCTCTGGCAGAGGTCTTAGAGAGGGAGGCAGATTGCCCAGCTTTGCTCCGGCATTTTCTCTGAACGCATCACCTGCTACAACCAAGAACATCACAATTAAACTTCTTTTGAAAAATAAAAGATAACCAAAAAGAAAACACCAAGAACATCAGCTGATTAATTGTGGGATGGAAAACATTAAAACACAATGGATATCAAGGTTAGATCTCAAGTATTTTCTGAAAAAGATGTTAAATCTGAAGTCACGGATGGCGCAGATATTAATGTTCATATAGAAAGAGTATATGCGCAAAAAGTGATGCATGCCTGGAAAAGATGCTGAACCGAAAGGTTGAGTATTTGGTACACTCTTTAGGTGAATACCCTCTCTCTAGTAGTTGTTCCAGAGAATTGGAACGAAATCAAAAGTTGAAAGCACTGACTTCTTCCCAGAGCTATTCAAATTCATAAGAGATGAGCAATCAACTACTCTCTCAATTCAACAGTATATCAATATCAAGAATTAATACTTCACAACTTTGAAAACTAATTCTGGTCTGTCAATCATTTGGAAATACTCCAAGAAATGAAAACCCAAAATTACTGGACAATAAAAGCTTTAAAAAGGTTTGGATATAAACTTTGAACTTCTTGAATGAGGAAGTTGCAGCATTACAAGATAAGTCCCCTGACTTCTGCACATTGCCAATTGCAAGAAATTCACAAAAATTGATTGCCTGGATCTACTTTAAAGCTACGCTTCCCAAAAGTTCTGTTACTTTCCTAAGATATCCCTTTGAGAGTATTACAACATCTGCCAAAAATAGGACATCTTTCAGATGAGTTCTCCAGTAATTGTTTCCGCTGAGCGGACTAAGACAAGTATTTCAGGAAAAGAGCAAACAACATCAAACATTGACTGCATTCCATCAGTTTTCCGATTCTCTTCCAGAAAGAGAAAACACAATAACCATTAGAGTGTTTCAGGATATACTGACCCACATATTTGTAATTTGAATCCAGAACACTTTCTTGACAAACTTTTTTATACAGACCCTTTCGATTCCAAAAGGCAAATAGTATTTGCCTTCTTAAAGAATTTCTTTAAGAACTTGAAGTGTGATAATCTTTCAAGTGACAAGCCCAAAACCTGATTAACATCTAGTTCATTATGATGAAAGTTGATTATTTGATAAGTATGAAACTGATTGTTGATCGGAATGAAATAGTGATAGTGAAAATTTTGCTTTGTCCAGGTTGACACCCCAATAGTCTAGGGTAAAAAGTTCAACAGGAGTTGGACAGTTATTCTTCCCTAACATGCGAGTAACCTCATAATTTGCCAATGGTTTATAATTACTCGCAACTTGCTCTATACTAGTTTAACTTTGAAATTCACCTGGTAGCGGGCAGTCTATAAACTAATCCAATTCCTTAGGGAAAAAAATTAATTTCTCTGCGGCTAAGGCTACCTCGTCTTCCAGCAACCTAGTCTTCTTAGACAAACACAAGTACTTGTGACAAAGTAAATAATTAAAATACTTTGTGAGGTCAGTAAGTCGAAATAGCTAGCATGATACTCAATATAGTTCTATGTTTAAGACATTAGTTGATTAAAAGTAAAATATCGAATATCAATATACGCAAAACATGCAAGAAAGATACCTGGAGGAATTCCCATTTGTTGCACAGTTTGAGAATTTTGCTTGGGATGATAATATTTGCAGGAGTCCCCATACTGGCAATACCCCTTTGATGCATGTAAAAGATATAAAAGGTAAGGAGAAAATTGTTCACTTACTTTGCTTAGACGAAGTATAGAAGATTTACTTCCAATCATTTAATACTATTAGAAAGGGAGTAAAACTGAGACACTTTCTCCTTCCCGCCGGCTTCTAGATGGTTTCGAAAAACTGTAGGGTCACTACTTTTCCTTCAGTCCTCTTTTACTTCTTACCACATGAGGAAAATGATGCTTACCTCTCTATGTATTTCCACTCATTCAACCCCTCTTTACACCTCAAACCAAAAATGTTATTAGTCCGCAGAAGAATGATATCGAAGAGAATCTCGTCAATAATGAATCATCAAAGTACATCAGTGTCTTGACGACATAGCATCTCTATAAAACATAAACAGATATGAAATTATGAACAGAAGTTGCAAGCACCAAATATAATTATGACTTTTGTGCACACTTTCCAGAACTACTTTCTCTCATGAAAGTTTAGAGGAGGGAATCTGCAAAGACGTTTTATAACAAATTAGCCTCCACTTTGCATTGAGAACTGAGGCACTCGACCTAGTGGAATGACTAGATCTTTCATGACCTCATATTCCGCTGCGCTTATATGAGCACCATCAAGCACCTGTTTAAGACAAAGGGAACAAAAGAAACTCAGTCCAACCCGTACTCACAAAGTCAAGAATCTGCTAACATCTCATGCCGGAAACTCCGAAAAGATTGAAAATACTTGAGTGCAACAATATACAAGTTCAGCTCCTTTCCTATTATTTTAGGTTTTGTACAACATAAGCAGTCATTATTTACTCCTAACAAGGAAGTAAATACTCTACTACTAAGTACAGAAGCAACCCAGGATCATTTTCTGAAATATTCAAGTTCAACTTAGTGATAGGCTGATAGCTGCTACCATTACAGCATAGGCATTAAGTCCTTTTATGTCATTCTGGAAGGTAGCAAACCTAGCGAAGATTAGGAAGAAACAATTACAGCTGGGGCAAGGGAATACCAGAGAAGAAAAGTTAAGAGTGCGAAAAGGAGAACAAAATCGCGTGAGAGAAGCCAGAATACAGCTTTGGAAGATGCCAAACTAACATTATCGATCAAAACAAATATACTACATATGAAACAGAACATGAGAATATAGAAGGGTATAATCCCAGAATTCTACCTTTGGAAGCAAAGTCCTTCTCCCTGTCATATACGGAGTCAGTACAGGTATCCTACATATGGAAAGAGCATCAAGAAACAGAAGAACAATTAGTTGCCACTGCTTCATTCTGAATGCAGGGAGTGGATCCACAAAAGACATTGTATCTATCAAGAGAACCTGCACATGTCAAACGAAGAAGAGTTATCCTCACATGTGATGATTACAACATTAATTGTGACGTGCAATGATATTCTTAAACCACCAATACCCATCATCTACCCAACTATGCCATCACAGCCAACAGGAAAATGTGAGTAGCTAACCCTCTGCACGCATCAAAGAACCTCCAATAGCTTTGAAAATAAACATCAAACATTATTAAAAGTATGATGGCGCTAATGAGAATACTAAATCACACAAGCTTAGTTTCAGCAAGCCATAGCCAACTTTCCCATTAATTTATTTGTAGAAACAAAATTCTGTCCCATTACCATCACCGGCCAATTACATACTGCTCCGGAAAATCTTTCCATCATAATGACTGGGTAATTCTTGTACTGACCCCCTCCCCAACCCCGTCACGGAATGTCGATGTGTCTGTGGGTGAGTGAAAAAGAGAACCATAAAATTTGAACTTTCAGGTACCCTAGACAATCCTTTAAAAGCTTCCTGCATTCTACAACTTCATGCAATGCACACTGCCAATAGTCAACATACATAATGCATATGTAAAGTATCCCCTACTAACAAATGAAGTCCTAACAAACAAAACAATGAGATTAATATTGCTTCCGAATACCAAACCAGATCAAAAAACTAAATTGTCTCCTCACAGCATGCAGAAGCAATTGAATTGACTACTTCCATAATTCTGCTAAAATGGCTTGGGAAGGGGAAGGTTACTATCTGAAAGTGTAAACATACCACTCCTTGCTCTAAAACTGATATTGGTACAGGAAGCCTAAGGTCAGTAACCAATCCCGGTAATGCTCGAGCGAGACAGCGAGCAAGAGTCTGCTTGATCTCAGTTGACCGGCCATCAGATAACACAATTTTGCGAGGATATTCTCTTCCATTGATAGACAAATACTCCTCATTAGAGCTTTCATCGTTGCCATATATAAATGACAAGGACGATGATGATATCCATGTGAAGAGTGAATTAAACATTGTAGCGAAAGGTGACAGCTGAAGAAAATTAGAAACACATACAGAGAAACCCAAAAAAGTTAAAAAGGAGTTTTGTTTTTGTTTTTGTTTTTT